ATCATAAAAAACTCAAAATTGTTTGGATGCAATTTATTGGTTTGCTTAAGAAGTAACAAATGCATATGCATCAAAAGAGTTGGATGTAGTTTAACCTGAGTCCTTTCTCTTCGTGGCCATTGAAGAATTTTGGGGGAAGTTGTGGAGCGTTTTGCAGAGACGAAAGGGTGGGTGGTTTTGGTAGGGGTGATTTGAAATTGATTGTTCCAACTTTTTAGGTAAGTGGATAATTAATTGAATTATAAATCTCATTAACATTTAAAAAGATACTAAAACGGTTATCATTATGTGTTAGGTACAATTGATAAAACTTTTGCTTGTTTAGGTGATTTTAAAAATAAAAATGAAAGGAGCCTAAAATTGTTATAAAAATTAAACATGTTAGTATGGGGTGCAATTTCCTCTAATATTAATATTAATTTTATATATCGATTAATATTGATAAACCAAGTGACTGGCTAATCTGATTGAAAAATACTGAGGTCTCGAGTACATTATTTTAGAATAATACTAATATTTTAATTTTTGGAGAAGCATTTTAATATTTTCTTTCCTTAATATTTGAAATATTCTTGTAGTTCACGAAGTTATTATTTTAAAAGGAGGATTAATGAATTGAGAATTCATCATAATTTGAAGATAAAATTCAGTTAGAGCAACTCCAAGAGTTTCCCAAAAATTGCTTCCCCAAAACAATGTATTGGGGGCTCTCCCTAAAGAAAACTTCCCTAAAAACTTATCAACCCACAGCAGATTGCTAATAACTAGTCCCTAATATTTTAAAACAGGCCACGTCATTGTAATTGGGCCCATTGCCACGCACAAAACTTCCCCACAGCATATTCAGCGCCGCCGCTAGGAGCTCTCCCCACACGTCTTCGCTGCGATCTCCAAATTCGGTATGAGTCGACGAAACCTTTCCATGCAGCTGGTGATGAATTCGTCGTCGGATGATGACGATGATGATTTCCTCCTCTCTGTTACTCATGTGGCCATGAATGCCGATGAGTCTGATGATGAAACAAAACATCGTGGTTCTATCATAGGGCATCGAGTACTTGAGCGAGACAGACACGCAGGACATCATAGGTTGTACCAAGATTATTTTTCAGATGATCCTACGTACGGACATAGTTATTTTAGACGAAGGTATGTAATTAGTATAACCTAGCCTCTACATCCTTATCATTTGCATTTTTTTTTTGGTTGCCAAACAGTAAAAATTGTGCCATGCATTGAACTGCCACATTATACATAAATCCAGTCGCAAAATGGACATTGTTG